CACTAATAGATCATATTCCTAATGTTCATGTCAACAGCTAAGCATGGCTCTGACTTGTCTGAGCCATAAGATCACACAAGCATATTGTTTGAACTATACCCAGTAACACAAAAGGATACAGGAAGAAATAAAGGCTAAAGTCTAGACACTGGAAAAAGTAAGTTTTCATTCTCTTTTAAGCTCCTACCTTAAAGATGTGATCCATTAAGTAAAGATGGTCTGAACTTATATGATTGAGGAGATTTATGTGATGTATTTGTGATGAAAGACAAAGCAAATGTTTTGCCTGCAGATAAGTAAAGAGAGTTCAAAAGGCAACCATGTTTTAGAGTCGTCAGCACTATTCAGGGGAAATGTCCCTTACTAGTAGACTTGAATATCTACTCCTTTTTGTGACTTATTTCCTACTGTGGAGGTGAGGCATCTTAGAATTTTAGAGCTAGGAGTGTTGGGTTTATCATATATTTTTGTTCTTCCAACTCTCTAGAGATAGCAATAAAATAACAACAAAGGGAAAGTTTCATAATAGTAATAGGAAGGGGAATCATTAGCAGATGTGATATTTCAGTGAGTTTCCAAGAGACAGAAATAAAGTAGTAATAAGATAAAAATTGCTTAGAATACAGGGAATGGATTTCAGTAGAGGAGAGGGCTGATCTTCCTGGCAGCAATCCAAGGCCCAGAGGGAACCAGTTCAAGAAAAGAGTAAGATGGAGGATGGGGAAAGGGTGAGAAACATGGGTGGTAACCAAAATGAACACTACAATACAACTAAGCCAGCCATTCTATAAATGTCCTTCTCTCTTCCCCTAACTTAAGACTCAGATCATGGTAGCCTGCATTTTATCCCAAAGAAAACTTGAAGATTCTTCTCTGGAATGAGAAAGAGTTAGGGCTAACAAATTGGCCATTATATCTTAAAGGAAAGTTCTCATTTATATTTGGGATAAATAGCAAAAGGATAAACTCCTCACAAGGTATTAAGTTTTCTTATTTCTGGTAGACACTAATATAGGCTCATATATGCAAATACAATTCCATGAGGAATCGGCACTTACTACCTAACAAGCTACTCCAGTGCACCAAAAATGGCAAATCAGCAGCATCAAAGAGAAATACAGTATGAATAAAAGAAAAATTTGATTCCAGAATAAATTTCCGTCATGCAAGATACAAAGGATAACATAAAAATGTATTTTTTTTCAGAGAAATGCACCCACAAAACAAGAATAGAATACTCCTGTAAGGAAACACACAAAATGATAAAGAGCTCATGGATATGAGTGAAACACAATTGTAAGTATGAAAGAAATAATGATGATGGATTACTATGGTTATAATCTGGGGCATAGGCTATAAAGACAAAGAGGAAACATGAAGAAAAAAGATTAATAAAGATTAATAAACAGAAAGAGATTTAAAAAGTCCTAGGTAGAAAGTTAAAGCAACTGCACAAAAAAGATCTCAGAGTTGAAGAGGGGCACATATCTTCATGTTCAAAAGATCTCCTAAATGCATCACAGAATTCATAAAAAACATCTACAAGCAGCACCATCTTTATAAAGTTTAGGGATGAGAGGAATTAATATCCTAAAAAATTACCAGGTGGAAACCCAGACAAGGAATAGGAGTCAGACTGGCAGCAGACTTATCATCATCAACCTTGAATAGGAAATAAGAACCAATGGTTATTATAAATAAGTGTAAAATGAAAAGAACTTTAGACAGGAAAAGTCTGAGAAAGATTTATGCCCATGATTACATTATTTGATAGTTTCTTAAATATATATAAAGAAAAAGTGGATGAAAGCCAGGAATTAAAGAACTAAAATAATCATCAGAAATTGGGGAAATGAGAAGATTGCCAGCACAGTGCACAGATCATATACCATATCCCTGGTAGATGGGGAACTACCTCAAATCCCAGCCTCAGGTGACATCTCCCTGCCTTAGGACTCTCAGTCAGCTTCAGTGAGGTAATAGAGCTGGACCAGGAAGCACCAATACCATATCAGTAACATTCCAGATCTAGTCTACCATCTAACCTACACTCAGCTAGCAACTCAGCTGACTGGAGCGGAACAGATTAGGACAGTAGGCTAGCTCAAAGATCATGACTTGTACAGCCTGTGCCTAAAGGAGTTCATAACACTGGAGGAGATGGACCAGAAAAAAGATGCCAGAGTGTGGGATCTGTTTGAGGACTTGTTCATGGGGACCAATTAGATTTCTGCTGGTGCATAAACTTCCATTACTTGGACCTTACAGATACCCGTTGATGAGGTCCTCTGTCCCTCCTGCATGGAGCCAGTTGATGCAGCCCTGCTTTCACCCGAGGAGACTCATTGAACTAGGGTCTCTCCTCTGACCTCAAGTGAGCCATAATTTTTGGTGGTTTTGATCTCTGTCATTGAGCCCAGTGAGCCAGGGATTAGGAATTAAGATCATGAACAAGTTTTCTAAACATTCCTAGATGGCTGCAGATGTTGAGGAAAGTATGTGATTTTTAGAAATTTAAGGGTAAGGGAAAGTAGGATGTATTTTAAAGTAAATCCTTGACCCATTGTTTATAAATGTAATTGTATTTAGAGCTTGTTGTTGCTCTAGTACATAGGAATTGATAAAATATTACAGTAGCTGTATGTTTAAATTGTGTATTGAAGATTAGGAAAAAATTTTTTTTCCCCTAAATGAAAAAAAACCTTCTCCCCTCCACCATTTTTTTTTTTAAAAGTTATTGGTATTTGGGTTAAGATTTTATTATAAATTACATTTTATACTGCGGACACATAAAAAGTAATTTTAAGCTTGTTTGCACAGTTGTTTTTTTTTCCATTGGAAATGAAATTCATTGCCTTAGGCCATTTTATTAATTATTATTATTATTATTATTACTTATTGAGAACACTTTGCTCTTTGAATGCTATTTTATCTACATTTCTCAAGAAATTTTAAATTTAATTAAAAAATTTAAATGGCCATTTTAAATGGTGTGTTATTATCATTGGCTCTGGCTCTATGCTTGAAAACCAGTTTATTTATAAACTATAAGTGCTACCTCCTTTTTTTCCCAGTTAGGAAATGCAGAATTAAAAAAAGATTTTTTTATTTTTTCTTTTTAGTTATACATGACAGTAGAATGTATTTTGACATATCATACATACATAGAGTATAACTTCCCATTTTTGTGGTTGTACATGATGTGGAGTTACACTGATTGTGTATTCATATATGAACATAGGAAAGTTATGTCCGAATCATTCTACTGTCTTTCCTGTTCCCATCCTCCCTCTATTCCACCCATTCCTCCTTGTGTTATCTGGTGAACTTTAACTACCCCCCAACCCCCAACCTGAGTATTATGAGTCAGCATCTGCATATCCAAGAGAACATTAGGCCTTTTGTTTTACAGGATTGGTTTATTTCACTTAGCATGATACTCTCCAGTTCCATCCATTTACTGGCAAATGCCATAAAGAAATACAGAATTTGAAGTAATCTCCTAGCTTGTAAGCACACTGAGATGCACTATCCCTTTTCTAAAAAAAAAAAAAAAAAAGAGTTAATATGTCAAGAAACCAACCCTATCAAAGTGGGTTTAATATTACCTTTTCCTGTGTGCTTGATCTAATTATTTTGGTTGTTAATATGGTGATAATTGAAAGTCTAGATAAATTCAAAATACTATAGTTACTGATTTATTGACCTTGATTTATACCAGCATGTTTATGTAAAAATAGAGATGGCACCATCACAAAACTTAACGAGTCAGTTCTAACATTTTGATTTGTTTTCTTTCCTGTGACCTCCTTCCCTGTTGTCCTGAACCAGAGCAAAAGGATACTTCATCTTGCATTTGCTGTAGTACTGAGGTTATTGGAGTTTATAAGTACATCTTGGTGTCTGTTTCTTGAAAAGGAATTAAGTCCTGATAGGTGACTGTGAAGATCAACCTGGGAGAATAGAGGTAAATATGCTTCAGATTTTGCACAGAAATGAATAATTTGTATAATCAGATGACCTCACAGTTGTGATTTTAGGAATTTATTCTTTATTATGTCTTAATGATGTAAGACTACTCTCAATCTTGAAACTTCTGAAGTGTTAGAGATAGAGGTGGTCTAGGTGAGATGTTACAGTAATGGTTTATATGTTTAACATATAAATTTTTAACATGTTCCTTGGATAAATGTCTTCAGATCCTTTTCCCGTTTTTAGTTGAGTTGTTTTCTTCTCTATGTATTCAAAGATGATTTGTTTGTTTAGCTCAGTCAGTGATGTTACAGCTAAAAATCTAACATTAGCAAAACAAGAAGCAGTCTCCATCTAACAAAGAAAACAGAAATGTTTCTTATTATTTTATATTGTGCCAAATATTTGGCTTTAACACATTTCTACATGTAAAAGCAAAAGTTGTTTTGAGGTTCCTCAAAATTGCATTATAGAAAAATTTAATATATTATAAGTACTTAATTTGACATTCAACAAAGTGATCATTAATTTCTATTATGGAAAGACTCAAAGATGAATCTGACAAAAATTGAAAGAAATAATATTATCAAATAATGTAAAATTGCTACACATATCTTATATTTTCCCAAACTTATACCATACTATTTTAAAATTATTTTTATTACATTTATATAAAAATACAGTATTTCATCAAAATTACTTGTATAGCAACATCAAAGTTTCTCTCTTTGTTTTACTTTCCTGATTTGCCTGTGGGGAAAACCAATCAAAAAGGCATGAGAATCCCATTCATTGACAGGTTCGATTTTTCATTGAAAATTAATAATTAATAAAGTCTATGATTAATCACTTCTACTTTCATCACAGATAAGTTTTAGTTGACTTAACGGAATAGAAAAATCCATACTGAAAGAACAAAATTGAGTTTCTTTTTTTTAAAAAAAATTTATTTGTTATTTTTAGATATACATAACAGTAGAGTCTATTTTGACATATTATACCTACTTGAAAGGGAGGGAGAGGGAAGAATAAAAGTATATTGGATTAGACAAAGGGGAATGAAGGGAAGGGAGAGGGATAGGAATAAGAAAGACAGTAAAATGAATTGGACATAATTTTCCTATATTCATATATGAATAAATGACCAGTGAAAGTCCATATCACATACAACTGAAAAAATCCAGTTTCTTGACATCCAAAGTTAGGACCAGATAGATCTTCACTGCAATGGCCCATTGAAGGGTAGAGACTTTGAGATCTGGTTGAGTCTTGACATCATTCTCATCCCTTTCCAACTCTGATCCTCCGTCTTTGCAGGTGATGTAAACCATATTTTATGGCCACTAAAAATAGGACAGAAGTGACTGAATTTGTCTTATTGGGCTTGTCCAGCAGGCCAGAAATGCAGCCAGTTATTTTTGGAATAGTCCTTGCCATGTACCTGGTTGCAGTTATGGGCAATGCCCTTCTAGTAACTGTTGCTTGCTCAGATCCCAAACTTCATACTCCCATGTATTTCCTTCTCAGCCAGCTTTCCTTTATTGACATATTTCTGACAACCATCACTGTTCCTCAGATGCTTGTGCACACACTATCCACGAATCGAATCATTTCCTACAATTGCTGTATGATCCAGCTGTTCTTCTTTATGGCTGTGGGCAGCATGGAAGGCCACTTGCTGGCTGCGATGGCATATGACCGCTGTGTTGCCATCTGTGACCCCTTAAGATACTCTGCCATTGTCAGCCATCGCCTCTGTCTGCGCATAACATTGACCTCCTGGGTGATTGTCAGCCTTAACAGTCTTCTTTACAGTGTGTTAGTCACACACTTAACCTTCTGTGGCAACCAGGTCACCCACTTCTTCTGTGACATAACTCCCCTGCTGCAGCTCTCCTGCACTCGGCCAGTGGTCAATGAAATGCTAATATTCACAGAGGGTGTAGCTGTTGTGGTCAGCCCCTTCTTCTTTATTTTGGGTTCCTATGCCCGCATTGGCATTGCCATAGCCCACATGCACTCAATTGCTGCCCTGCGCAAAGCTCTGTCAACCTGTAGCTCCCACATTTTGGTTGTGTTGCTCTTGTATGGCTCTGTGATCCGCATGTACCTCCGGCCGTCCTCCAGCTATGACTTGGATCAGGATCGTCAGGTTGCCATCTTCTACACAGTGGTCACCCCTATGCTAAATCCACTAATCTACAGCCTCAGAAACCAGGAAGTTAAAGGAGCTCTGAGAAGACTTTTTAGGAAACTCTGGATCTCAGGAAACTTCCAGCCTGGTTCCCAGGCAAATAGAGAATGGAAACATGAATCCTGAGACCAGAGAGTTATGATCTAACCTGAACATGTTTCAGAGAGATGGGTTGTACCCCTAATAACCATATGAACTACCTTCCTATGGAATAATCTTCACTGTTGACCCCCTTGGTTGGATTATGGAAGAAGTGAGTTCATGAATAAATGTTTCTGGTCCCTATTAACTGATTTAGAATATCATCGGATTGGAAATGAGAAGATACTTAAAAGTCACTAAACCTAAGGGGATGGGAAATACTGGGGAATGATATTAACCATATTATAATGTTAAATTTTGTGCACTTATGAAATGTAACAACAAATCCTACAGTATGGACAACTGTAATACATCAATAAAAATGTGGAAAAATGCACTAAATATTCTCTAAGCCTGAATGTCTCATATTTCAGGAATAATATGTAACACAGAGAACTACTAAGCAAATGAAAACAATCACATGGCTTGCAGAACTTTGATCATTTTAGTGATGGTTTGTCATGCACTGAATCTAATTTCAACAACCTCTTGACTTACGATAATAACAAAAATCAGATCAATGCTTATAGGTCCTCTCAATATTCTACACATAGATTGATTTAATCACAAAATTTCTGTGTTTGAGAGCTGCAAAGATGTCTCACTATGAGACATATCACATGTTTGGGGTGAATGAAAGTTTATATTAAGGTACCCCTTTCCTCAATGTGATTCAAATTATATTTTTAAATTCACAATACTTGTAATCTCACTATATTAAGAATACTGTTAATGGGATCTATTACCTGAGATGAATTATACTTTCAGTTATGTCCCTCATTACCATGTGATTAACCATCAGCCTATCACAATGAAAATGGCAATAAAGGTTGTTTATAATATTTTTTTCTATTTCCAATAGTGTTGCAATAAATAATGTTATTAAATGTCATTTTGTAAGATAGCATATGTGTCTGTAGGATAAATTCATAGAAATAGAATCAGAATCTATAGTCATGATTTTGATGGAGGGTCAAATTGTGGAAAACTACAATGATGATGATGTCTATTTTTACATGTACTTTAAAAGATTTTCTGTCAAAAGAAGATTATAAAAATGGGCACTGCAATGTTTGGAGAGGACATGGCTAGGGCATTTGAGGAATAGAGAAAATTCAAGACCATGGGCAGCCTGGGAAGGATATGGGTTTGTGAATTATTGAGGATCTAGAGTATATAAGCATTTTCTGACATAATGGAAAGTTTCAATTGTATTCTCAGGGCAATAGTACACCCAAGAAAAAATTTCAGCAAAGAAATGACTGACAAATTTAAGTAATTTATAGTTTACTGAGTAGAGATCAGATTGGAGGAATAGAAGGAATTTACCTCAACATTGTAAAGGCAAACTCAAGGCCAACATCATAGTGAATGGAAAAAAAAATAGAACACATTTCCTCTAAAAACAAAAAACAAGACAAAGATGTCCACTCTCATCTCTCCTATTAAACATGGTTCTTGAAACTCTAGCTAGAACAATCAGGAAAGAGAAGGAAATTAAAGAGATATAAATAGGAAACTAGGAGCTCAAATTGTCTGCTTGCTGCTAGTATCATCCTATATCTAGAAGAATAAAAGACACAAAAACCTCCACCTGAAGACTTCTAGAGCTAATGAACAAATTGAACAAAGAAAGGGGATATAAGATACACATAGATAAATCAATTGCTTTCCTGTACTCCAATAATCAATCTACTGAAAATAAATTGGGAAAACTATTCCATTCATAATAATCTCAAAAAATAAAATAATTTGGAATTACTCTAACCAAAGACATGAAAAACTTCTGTATAACAGTGAAGAAAGAAATTGAAGAAGACCTTATAAAATGGATAGATCTCCCATGTTCTTGAATAGACAGAATTAATATTTTCAAAATGACATACTATCAAAAGTTTTATACAGATTCAAAATACCAATGGCATTTTTCACAAATAGAAAAAGCAGTCCTAAAATTCATTTGGAAGAATAAAAGACCCATGGCAGTATGTAAAAAAGTGGATGTGTAACCGATGTGATTCTGCAATCTGTATATGGGGTAAAAATGGGAGTTCATAATCCACTTGAATCAAAGGTATGAAATATGATATGTCAAGAGCTTTGTAATGTTTTGAACAAATAATAATAATAATAATAATAATAATAATAATAAAAGAATAAAAGACACAGAATAGTCAATACAATACTGATCAAGAAGAAGATGCTGGAAGCATCACAATACTTGCTCTCAAATTATACTACAGAGCTATAATAACCAAAACAGCATGGTATTGGCACCAAAACAGACATGAAGACTAAGAGAAGACAGCTACCCACATAATTACAGTTTTAACTGACCCACATAGTTACAGTTATCTGATTCTGAACAAAGATTCAAAAACATACGTTGGAGAAAAGATTTTTTTTTAACAAAAGGTGCTGGGAATATTGGTTATCCATATGTAGTGGATGAAACTAGATTCCAATCTTTCAACCTACACAAAAGTCAACTCAAATTGGATCAAAGACATGGGAATTAGAGCAGAAACTCTGCAACTGCTAGAGGAAAACAGACTCAACATTTCCACATATTGGCATATGCATTGTAATAGTTAATTTGAATTGTCAAACTTGATTGGATTAATAGATACAAGAGATCAGGAGGCTTATGGGTGTGTCAATGAGGGTGTGTCTAGGAATGATTGGCATGTGGAATAGCCAACTGAAATGGAGACCCTCCCTAAACATGTGCAACGCTGTCCAATAGGATGATGGCTTGAATGGAATAAAATTTGAAAGAATAAGGAAGCAGCAGAAGATGGAAGCTCAGTTCTTGGTGAATGGGTTCTTGATTGCTGCTGCGATTGTCTGAGGATATAGGACTCTCACTTACTCACTCTTCCAAAGCAGAATCTACCAGTGATTCTCCAGAAGCCTTCAGTCTCAGACTAAGGTAGCACTGTTGGTCCCTCTTGTTCTTGGGTTTCAGTCTCTTGGACTGTGCAGCTACTGATTCTTCCAGCTCTCCAGCCTACAGACAGCCATTGTCGACTATCCAGCTAACTGGTCATGTAAGCCAACCTGATAAATCTCCTTTTTATAATTATACTTCCTGTTGATTCTGTTCCTATAGAGAACCCTGACTAATACTAACACCAACTCTCTTAACAAAACCCCTAAAGCTCAAGAAATAAAACCAAGAATTAGTAAGTGGGACAGAATCACATTTAAAAGCTTCTGCACAGCAAAGGAAACCAGAGCACAAAGGGGGAGCCTACAGAATGGGAGATTATCTTTGCCAGGTAATCCTCCAGTAGGAGATTAATATCCAGAATATATATTAAAAAAAACTTAACACCAAAAAAAAAAAAAAAAAAAACCAAACAAAAAATTCCCAAATAATGCAGTCAGTAAATGGGCAAAAGAACTAAACAGGCATTTTTCAAAAGAAGAAATACAAATGGCCAAAAAAAAATGAAAAAAAAAATGTTTAACATTTCTAAAAATCAGGGAAATTGAAATCAAATTTACATTGAGATTTTAATCTCTCTTTAGCTAGAATAGCTAGAATAGCAATCATCAAAAAATACAAATGATAATCCCCTCTCCCATTTAGGGACTGTGTGAATTTATACATTTCTAGATTTTTAAATAATTTGCTCCATGACCCTTCAAACCCTTCAGCTCCCAATATTGTTATCACTCTTGCTTGGTGAGTGTTTATGTGGACTAAAGTTGAGTGAGAACGTATATACTAGTATATGCCCTATTGGTATGCGGTTTTCTTTCTTATATGTCAGCCTCACTATCCAAAAGAACCCCCCAAACTACAAGCCCATGACTCTGAGCTTTTGTTCCTCTGATTGATGTAGAGTAACTTTCAGAAAGCTCTCTGATGTTCTTGAGAATCTATTCTTATTCTTTTTTAAATTGTTTTATTTATTCTTTTTAGTTATACAAGAGAGTAGAGTCTATTTTGAAGATAGTGCATTATGAGTGTCATGTTCTCTTTACCAACCAAAGAACATTTTGTTCATTTTCAAATGGAGAAATGAATAAAAGAATCACTTTATTTAAAAAAAATCAAAAAAATTGTGATTAAATTAATCTATGTGTAGAATATTGATTCTAATTTTTGGTAAACATATCATCATGTTCTCTTTACATATTATTTTGTGATTGTTCACATGGATAAGTCTATGACCAACTGACTCAACACAGAAAGATGGAGGAATGATCAGATAAAAGTATTAGAAATATGACAAGAAAAACATTAGTGAAAAATCAGTGGCATACAAACTGAATTAGGAACCAAGAGGCGATTAAGAGGTTTTTTGGTTGATGCTAGACAGGCACTTATAAAGAATTCTTTATTGTTCCTAGTGTTCTGATGACTTGAATAAAAATGATACGCTTTGAGATAAGAGAATACAGGATGTAGAATTTGAAAGAGACTGTACATATTTTTTCCGCATTACAGAAAAATTCTTAAAGAAAGAATGTTGGAAAATTGAAAATGTTGAGTGAATTGGTTGAATGAAAGAATTTTATTAGTGGGGAAAAACTTTTGGGTGTATTGTAAGACATGTCACTAGATATTTTATGATCTTGACATAGATTTATTCCTTTAATACCAAAATTAGATTCTGATTTGGAAATAGAAAAATATTACAAACAAATGCAGAAAACTTGTGATTAAGCCCCCCCCCCGCCCCGCCCCCGCTTCTTCTGTGACTTCTCTACTTAAGCTGTCTAGGTCAGATCAGCTAGTTATCCTCAGCATAGAATTGATAGTCAAAACTGTGCCATTTTGATATTTCGTTCTCTTATCCCACATTGGGGACACCATCCTGAGAAGACCCTTAATCGAAGGGATCTACAAAACCTTGTCCACATGTGGCTTCCACATCTCTGTGGTTTCACTGTACTATGGAACAGTTATTTGGCTATATTTCTTTGCTCTCATCCAATAATGCCAGTGACCATATGTCATTGTGTCTGTGTTGTACTCTCTGGTCACCCCCATGGTGAATCCTTTTATTCACACTCTGAGGAATTGATATGAAAGTAGCTCTGAGTAACTTTCTCAGTAGAGGAATATTTTCAGCATGATGGGGATTTTGTTTCCTATTATGGATATTAGACTTCTCAGTCCCTTACATGCATCATTTTCTCTCTGAATTTCTATTTCTTGGTAAATCCTGATGTGGGAGTCTTTATTCAGCCTTGTTTCAATTTGAATTTAGTTTTTGTCTCATTTAATTTTCTTGTGGATCTTAGAGTCTCAGGAAAGGTTTTCACAAACATGTCTGCACATTTTTACTTTTCACTTGGTATCCTTTTTTATGGGCCAGGCTATATGGGCAATGACCAAACAGACTCCATTTTACCCTGAGACTCCATATCATGTAAGAAATGCTCCTCCCATGGGAAAGGCCCGCCTCTGTACTCATTAATAATTACCTAGTATAACATACTTGCAACACAA